AGCATATTGCTAACGTGCTCCGAGCCAATTGTTTTCCGGGGAGTTTTATAACCAAGAATATGTCCGCCCGCCCTATCCAACCGCCTATCATGACCGTTGGAAAGAACCAATATAACTGAGTCTTCCGTATGAAGGCGACCTGTTGGCGGACATAGTCAATCGCCGCTTGTTTCAATCCTTACAACGCACGTTTCGGGGTAATCTGTGGTCATGGTTAAAAAAATTTGCTTAACTTAAACCTAAAAGACAAGATGCCCGTCCTCACCCAGAATATGGTTGGATATTCTTTCTCCTGCTGTTGTTCGGCGGAGTATGTTGGGCGCACGACACGGGTACTTCCTAAGAGAATACGTGAGCACCTTTCTTACCGGAATACCACTAACCTCAACAGTTCAGCCAGGAGCTCAATCGCATCCCACCTAATTGACACCGGGAACGTAGTCATGCCAAATGAGTCATTTCAAATCATTTACCGCGTGCCAAATCGACTACCAGTATCTATTCAACGACGTTGCTTGACGACGGCCGAGGCAGTCACTGTACGCCTGCGAAACCCGGTACTGTGCTGTCAAAAACGTTTCGTACGAACGCTGAGTCTGCCTTGGTCGAGTGACACGAATCAACCGGCCAAGTCACTCAACAGCCCTCTTCACTGTCTCACAGCATCCAACTTGATGGGAAATGGGTGGAGGCGCAGACAACCAATCGTTTGTGCCTTCACGTTTTTGCATTTCACTAACCGATCTTCGTAGCGTATTTCAATTTCCGCTCTTATTTTAACCATTAGATATGTACCGATCTGATGACGAGCTCCCGAAAACAATAATGTTCGTCACTGTGTTATTTTTCAAACCATGGAAATATTCAAGCAATACACGTGGTCAACTTTCTTTGGTGTCTGAATGGCTCAATCAACTTCCTACCTTGCAGACGCTGTGCAGTAGTTCGGAGGTGGGTGAAAATCCAATTCTAATCATTTCGTCATATATGGTCGATCCGAGCTGCGCAATCGTGTTTGTTGCCACCATGACCTGGCTACCAAATCTCTCCAACTAATGCCGAAGCAATATTTGGTTGGGGAGCTCAATAGAGATTCCGGTGTTCATTGAATTTCACACACCAGTAACTGTGTGAATCCTGTTAATAAGGCAGATATCTAACAAGATAAATCGGATTTGGTCGATACCCGCATGGCAAGCCGCAATCAGTGCTTCACGACCTAATTTTGCACTCGTCCTTGGGAGGGTGCGTGCCCGCGCCAGCACCGAGTTGAATAGAGTTTTTGGCGATGACTCCCTCGATGTGGACATCGGGTGAAGTTCGGAGTGAACGTGTTGTATGGCTTCCAAGGCCAAGTCTATGCGTTTATTCTGCGGCTATCACGCACAAGTTTATTGTCCGTGTATGAAACCCTACGAAGGCCAATGACTTCGAAATGGGAAAGGTGACTGGCGTCTATAGAGCATTTTCCCAAACTAAGATGTGCTGCTGTGTACGCCAGCCAATTTTCAAAGGCCAGAGGCAGTGAAACGGTCCATCTTTGTCAATGTGTCCGTGCGATTATCTGTCTCCTTGGCGAGATGCTGGGCCTAAGTGTTCAACTGGATAATATGGTCAAGAAGACACTTCTCTCTAATGCTCCCCCCTTCGAAGACTTCAAACAGAACAAAAGAATGTTTTGTAGTCCGTAAATATTACAAATTTAGGGTACTCTGGTGCCTAGCAATAGTGGGGGGCAACAAAATAAACAATCAGTAATTCGCTGCTAAAAATGCTATACATGGGTTTGGCGCCTGTCAACAGCATTGGAAATAATTAATGGGATCCGACAAACTTGTTATAGAACCACGTCAGCCGCGCAGCTGAAGCAGTGGCTACAAGGAAAATGGTGCAAAACGGCTAGAAATCACTTGTTGAGCTGCAATAAAGGTATCAGCTGTTTTTTATAAAACACTTAGGTTTTCAACGAACTTCGCTGGTTGGTGGTTGGAGTAATTTGATGCAGCTGGTATAAAACAGCTATAATAGTAAGCCGGCCGTTGAACCGACTTACAGAGGCCTGTGTCATGAATGCTGGATAATCCGAAATTTTTGGAACAGTCGATTTGAGTAGACGAATCCCGGCCCTGGTGACTGTACGGTCCCAAATGTAAGCGCGGGAACGACTCAATTTGGCGGTAAGCCACAATGTCGAGGACCGAGAAGAGTTGCCATGGGCCGTTTTGGTGTATTTACACAAGAAATCCGTAGGATTTACAACGTTGATCTGCAAATGGACATAACCCACGCCATTAACTACGTCGATTATGACAACTTGCGTGACGCACCGTAATCGGAGGGCATTTAATGCAAGTCGGACAAGCCGGGCGCAGTAGAGACCGCAGTTTCCCAACATTAACTGGCTGGGCTCGGGCCCTTCGCACGCGAGAGGGTAACTTGCTATTAGTCCGCCTAGCCAAAGCGTTGGGATCACGGGAGTCCGCCACTAAATAGTGGTAAAATTGGCTGCCCATGTTATAGGCTTTAGAGCCCCGCATGGGCACAAACCAGCAGAAGTTTTGTGGGTCGCATTGAGTGACGAATATCATGAACTTTAAGATGGTCGAATGAGTATACCCTGAAATTACTCTTGAGCAACTTTTAACCTGTCAGGCGCAGGTCTTTGATGAAAAAATTCTGAATGAGGGCAGTTGTTGGATTTCAGTGCCTATGGCCTGTGAATTAAAGAGGCAGAGAGCAGGGTGGTCGAGTTAAAATGCAACGTTTTCTGCTAGGAGTTTGAAATGCACGAATTTACCCTCGAGGACGGACACGTGACTGAAGGTAGCGTAAGTTGAAATGGTACATAACGTGAGTGTGTCCACCGGTTCAGAAAGTTCCGAGTGTTTTAAAGTTTGGCTGGCATAACACCCTAAGAAATTCAAAAAAGAAGTGGTCTAAGGCGCAGCATTGTAGACCGTTGTTAAACGTCAAGTGCTACATGGTTATGTGGTGGTTAAGGCATATTAATGGCCAGGAACCGATGCCCCGATATATGGGGCCGATCATTTATTAGGGCTCCTGCAACAATAAACTGAGCCCTTGTGTCCACCAACGGCTCTTGACGAGTGTTTTGACCAAGACGAAGAAAGGCGATTAAATTGCGGGTTAACGCCGAAAACAGTTACCGGTACGTTCCAGCATGTTAAAGTTCCGAAGACGTGTTGTGATATTTGCATAGAGGGAGCACCTTTGCGTTTTATCCGGGAACTTTCGACGTCATCGACAAAGACCGCTAAATCATGACAGTGATGTCGCTGTGTTCGTTTCTGCTGGGTCATCTGCTGGCATAGTGAGCCAAGCCTCGATCAGCAGGGTCATCACGACTGAGCTTGAGGGTTGGGGTTCCAGAGAAGTCTGTTGGAGAAAAGCTGAATCCGCACAGTTTACCGGGACATCCAAAGTGTCTGCTGAGAGAAACAAGAATCGGTGTTCTAGTTTCATTTGCCCATGGCTTTAAAAGTACTCCTTCGCTGTACTTTTAACATACAAATCCAATCTAACCCTACACTCTACCGACAAATCGATGGGTTTTTCACCATTGTCTGTTGCAGAACGGAATCAGAGAATTTACTGTGGACTAGATGCGGCATATTGAATGCTGTTTAATTTGAGCCTTCTAGTGTTACGAAAGTGCCACAAAAGTGCATCCCTAGAAGCAAAACGGGGCCTGTTGGTCGATGGATTTTTAGACGTTGTAAAGGACATCTGCTCAAACGGTCTCTAATAGCACCCCACCGAGATAATTAACCTCCGCGTTTCTCCTCATATTTTAGGCGGTAACATCTTGTGGCATAAATTTTGCAATTGTGGATGGACACATGTTTGGATTCTGGTGCCCCCAAAAGCGGCTAATATCGCTCCCGAAGCCACCGGCTGAGCCAAAAGATCCTTTTGCAACGTCGGTTTATGCAGGCAGTGATATGAATGATGAAACAATGATGAGACGTATTTCCATGAAAAACCAGGCAAGAAGATCTGACTGGAACTCGCCATGAAAATTGGGTTCGTTACCATAGATAACCCAACTCACTGCATTCCGTCTATAGAAACTACGACACATTCCTTAGGATGTATCTTTTGTGCGCCTTGAAGGCTTATCCGGCAGCAAAACATTGGGAGTAAAGTTTATATCGACGAACCGTCATAGGTCAACTTAACCAGGGTTTAACCAAAAAATTTTCCATTCTCAGCTTAAAACCCACAAAACATTTAACTAAACTCACACATTTTATGGCGTTTATTCGAAAACATTAGATCTGCGTGAACAGCTATCTTTTTGACAATATTCATTTAAGTATTTAGTCCCGGACACAACAAATGAAGGCTTTCTGGCACTATCAGCGTTGACGCCGTATTTTGAATAGACACATTTCGGCACCAAACTTTCACATAGAGATACGTGCTGTACATTTGCCTTGAGACGGATTGCGTAAAGTAGTTCCCCTGCATGTCTGTCTAAATTGCCGCACCTTCGGAGGCAGGTGGGTAAGAAATGTTCAGTCAGGAACCTCCCAGCTGATAGCCTGAGGCCGCGAATGCGGTCTCTTAAAGCAGTATTTGGATGCCAGGCTATCAGAAAGCACATGCTTTCTATAACCATGTTGCCGCATCATTGCAGATCATTTTTAGCCGCGGTGGACTGTAACTCGTCGTAAGGTTTACTTAGATGGAATGGTCGGGCAAGTGATCGCTTACCGGTTAACGACGAAAAGTTTTTAGCATCTTATGGAAACCTAAACACCGTTTAACTTCATCTCTAGGTTTTCAATGGCTTTAAATCACCCTCAGGTGGTCAATTATTGCGCTGTGCGGGATTGTTTTGGTTGATAAAAGTAGCGAACAACCGTCTTAAGAATGTACACCAAGGTTTGGACAAACGTGTACGCCACGCTGATAACCTAGGAGGTTTTCTGGCACGCCAGGGGGCCCTTGCATGAGCGCGAAGAGTACGCTAACTACCGCTATGACCGATGAGAAATTCAGGAGAGACAGCCATGTAATTCGTGCGGTTTACCGCATGAGGACATACGCGACCAATCAGGCTCATAGGCACGCCAAGCCGTACACATATATGGTGCAGTATTGATCACAGCGGTACAGCATAAAGCCCGTTGTTAACAAGAGTCTATTTTTGGTGCAAATCCTATAAGGCTTTTAGACGTCTGGGATTTGCGGGTGTGCTATTTGTCGGTCCATGTAGCTGTCTTGTGTGCTCCCATCTTTGGCAAAGATCGATTTTGCCCCCATGGCAAGTCAGCCACTCATACGTGCATTGTTTGTGTCGGTTTCTCATCCATTAAAGGTGGCTAATGAAACAGTCGCTAAGGCAAGAGCAACCATTTATCCACTCTGGAGGCCACTGACATGATATCGATATTTACTTCACGGGCGACTGTTGCACATGCTTGAAAACTGAAGTAGATAGAGACACGCAAGTACATAACCAGCATTTCATCGACGAATACCATAACATCGCTATTCTTTCGCTAGTCACCGGTGTTAGATGGAAAATGCCCTAAAATTAGATGACGATTCGCACCAACAGAGCATGTCCCATGTGGTCTCTCTGGTCCGCTGATCGTTAGAGACTGTGAAGCCTATTACCACACCAGGGATCTTATCATATTGATGAGACTTGTCCGGCATGCGAAATCTTGCAGGCGCTTTCATACACAGCTAGCTCACCTAGTTGCTGATATGGTATGTAAACTCAACCATTCTTCTACCACTCTGTCATTCACAAAAGCATGCCTCAAAGTAAAACTTGACCGGGCCCTGAAGAGCAGGTTCAGCATTTTTCGTTAGGTAGCTGCCTTTCCCAAGTTTGCAATGAAGTGGCTGTGGTAAATTGAAATTCATTTGCCCGTACACTGGTACTTGAACATCCTTTCGAATCACGTGACGTAGACTGCGCCTTATTTCCAAGTGAACCAATGCCGTCATTCTCTTTAGACGACCCCACCCGGCTATGCTACTACAGTGTCGGGCCGGCGTGTTGCCACGACCCTGGAGTCACACTGACATATCATAGCCTTAACGGACAAATATTGAAGTGAAATGCAAATCGTTTCAAGCAGTTTGTTGTCGTTAATACCAGTGGTAATACTTGGTACGTTGAGGAGTCGTCCTTGGGAGAAATGTTGCGATGATAAACACCGATGAGTTAGTGCCGCGCAGATACTTTTGTGAACCGGGTGAAGCGCTGCTACAGGAAGCCAAGAATATTAGGATTCGGCTGGCATATAGCCGCTTCGCTAACAGTGACATGCCATGTTTTATCTCTCACAAGCATATGACCAAATTGCCTGAAAAAACTCAAAGCATTTTGAGCAGGGGGTGAGTGGGAACGTAAGGATAACAATGTTTGTCCCCCAAATGGTGAGTGGCATACCGTCAGCTTTGGCCATAGTGATACAATCAGAATATAGACAAAGCGGGCGTCGGTTGTGTAGCCAACAGTGCACGAAAGCAGGACAGCCACATAAATAATGAGCATTATCCGACGCGGCTTGAGTCATGCATAGGCCGGTAAGACTGAAATGCGGTGGACGAGACACTGTTAAAATGTATTTTCTTGGTTGCAGGTAATACGCTTTATTGAAGTTGGTTCAAGCCGTTACCATTCGAGGGTTGCGGGCAACAAAGAATTCCAAAATTCATTTTTAAAACACATCAAACCAGCATATAAAATCCACTCGTTCATTCCTTGCTACTAAGGTACTGGTAATCAATTTTGCAAGAGGGTTACGGCCTTTGATTCAAAGCGCTGATTTCTAACAACACCAAGTAAGACCATTCCCACCATTGACTTGTGAATAAGCTCCTTCAATGTCAACCCCGCTCGTGTTCAGTGCCGTACATGATTTCTTGACAGTTATATCGACGCATGGGTGCTAGACACTTAATGTTTGTTGCCGAGCAACCGACAGCAAGATTTAGGAGTTGCAAACTAGCATACGCTCTCTAAGCTTCGGTTTTCGTGCTGAACAGAAACATCCGTTCATTGACTGACAGTGCCGTGATCTCCACGTCATGTCAATGTTTACGCTCGGGCTATATCCGAAGGTATCATAATTATAATTTTCCTGCCTGACTGATTGTCGCCACGGTAAAAGGCACGCAGACCCTCCATGAATCGTATGTTTTCTTGCACCTGGTAAGTAAGACGACATCTATCGCCAAACACACCTAATCTTCCTGGGAAACGAGGCTAAAAGTGCACCTTTAGGATTGTGGGAGGATAGTTATTGGTCAATGGGTTAGGCTAACATGCTTAGTCCCGCGGATACGTTCGACATTAAACGCGTAGTCACATGGTCACGGAAATCAGGAAAAGGTTTCCGACCGCCTTATTAATCTGCTCGAAAGGTTACTGCTGTTGTAGGTCAAACGAACGATTGTTGACAGTAGGGGTTGTCAGCGGAAGGCGCATAAAGTACGCGCAAAGCGTCTGGAAAAGTCCTAATATCTCCTGAGCAAGTGCGCTTGATTGAGGGTAGGCGTGATTGAAAGATGCGCGTTGTTGCACCGGTAAGTCACAATTTTTCCTTGAAAAATGCATCCAACTTAGCGTGGGAGTGGTAAACAAGAGGGTTGTAGAGAATATACGTGAAGATATTCCCTGACTTCGCCACCTTTGGAGAGTAAAACAGATCTAGTAATGACGGAGTTGCCTGGCTGAGTGTGAACAGCTTTAAAAATTATGCACGCACTATCCACAGTCCACCGTTAACTTTTGCAACTTCCTGCGTCTCCGCAATATTGGTGAAAATTGTTATTATGTGATTTAGTGTTTGCAGACCCTGAACTTCCGCTTGCCTTAATAGGCAGCTATCAGCAGCATAGCACTGCAGCACACAATCGGACCCAGCTAACTGTTGTAATAATATTCACTAAAAACACTTCCGGCATTAAATAAATCACGGTTTGCCTCGTCAACGGACGGTTATGTTAATTCGAACCGACGGTGCCAAGTGACGTTGGAATTTTGCTCACTCGAACAGACCGATGTCACGGAGGGCAGTGGATGATCAAGTCGGAATAAATTAGTTCCTCGTAGTGCTTAGTGCAACATGGACGGCATGGCCTCAGTGAGGTTAATTTCGTTCTGGCCTCAGTCATTGACCTACCGGGAGTGAAGCGTAGGCGGAGGGTTGATCGCCGGAAGGACAGAAAAAGGATGTACACCAAGGATAAAATTGCGTTGACCTTGATAAAGCGTGTCTATTTTGGCCAACAATAAATCCCTTTGCAAAGATACGTGTGTCTTGGGATATTTCAGGGGCTGGTGTGAGGCCATTCGGACCTTTTTCCCTACATTCTGTCGTTCATTCCACTGCCGTATAGTCACCCCGCTAACAACATTCCATTCCATGCCTGGTGCGACTTTATTCGATGGGTCTTTCATTGCGCAACTTGGATTATTTCTCAGTAGTGAACATCTCTTCGTTTTTGTGGTCACTGAATTTAATTGAACTTGAACTCTCTAGGTCAATCATGCAGAACCCTTTTGAAAAGTCATCACCATAACAACGCATCGCAACATGGGGGAAACTATTCGCTTCATTACGCAGAAGCTTAATGCGGAGCCATTTAGGAAAAATCTCAATCTTATAAGTTTTGACGCGTTAGAACCCCTGCAACTACTTCAGCTGATAAATGACGTAATAGCGGAAATAGATCCCAAGGTATGTCCTCAGGCACTTCCCTCTATCCAGTGCATTTCAGCAAAAGATGGATATACGAGAAGAGTCATCTGCTCAAACGGCTATTCGGATTTATGAAGCTCTGCGTGTGTATCGCTACAAGTGTCCTACGGATCAGACGGAAATGTGGGTTACTAGCTTAACAGCCATGATAATCAAACTAGGAGTGAATTCCGCAAAGGATTGGTTACAGGAGATAAAGCTGTGATCTATCCTATATTAGAGTGGCTACTACAACGCATTCCCGAATTAAAAACCCGTGCTTATCTAGCCAGATTTCTAGTTAAAGTGCAAATACCTGAAGTTTTCATGCAAGATGAAGAAATCAGTTGTTTGTATCAGCAGGTAAACACAACAGTTACTAAAAGCATATGAGAACGACAGTATGATTCATTAGTGGCTTCATTTAAGGACGCCCACCGGAAGTTGGAATCCCTAAAATATGGCGGACTCACCACATCAGAAGTGAAGAAAGACATTTCGGCGATGCAGGATGAAAAGGACCAGTTGCACAAGCGGGTCGATCGTATGAAGAAAAAAGTGAGTTGTGGACACCATGTTGCATTCTAATGAGTTATGTAGACCGACCAGTCTCAAATGCTAGGCCACTGGTTTCAGTGGAACTTACGATTCATTCTACCCTAGGTTCATCTTCCTGATTTCAAAACCATGTTTGGTATTCGGACAAGATTACAAAGAAATTATTTATTCTTGATCAGTCGGCGACACCGGCGGCTAAGAATTTTCCAAGCCTGCCGAAAAGCCAATCAACAGACGATGTAGTACCCTAGTTGAAGACCTTTTTCTCAGCAACTATCCAAGGTGCTACTTTTTAGAGTAACGAAATTTTTCGTGATGTGCTGTGTGGAATCCTCTGCAGATGAGCTAAATCTTACCTGGCTCAGTGGGTAGCCATAGGAGTCATTAAAACCGTCTTATCTCATCGTACCATGCACATTCGTCTCACTAGACCTACATGTATGATGTCCAATCGGATCCTAGTTGGGAGCTGATGATGCGCACTCCGACGTGAAATATATTGTTTCAGGTATTTTGTTCGCACAAAGACACGTTGCTATGGGTGCAATAGGATACCATCTGGACCGGTAGGCCCGTTTAGTGAGGTTATCGGCACTGCCACGATTAGGCCTGCTGGATATATCGGCACAGCTGCGACCAAACTTTCGGATTGCTATCCTAAAGACCAGGAAGCACCAACTTCAATACACTGAGGACGCAACTCAGGGTCACGTAAAATTAGTAAAAAAGGTCATTTATGGCAGTATCAACTAAGATACCGCGGGCAAAATAAATCCAGTTGTAGCACCCTTTCGGTGCTCAAATTCCACGTCACCATACGGAATCACAAGGGCTAGGATGCTGCCAACTTGCCCAAGCCTAGACAGGGAAGGTCGAGAGGCAGAGGTCGAGAGGCAGAGGTCGAGTTCAAATCACGAAACTTCCGGTCAGTAAATTCGCACTCTAACCACTGAAACATCTTGCCCACGGACAAACTAACTGAAAGGGTGTGCGAACGCCAGCGGAATCTTGAGGGTGGATGAGAGCCGACGTTATGGACCAAACAATATGTGATGTTGATATGGATGTACATCTGGTGAAATGTTAAGGTATAGGCGGCTCACGGATACGAAGCATTAAGCAGCGTTTGGTAGTCACCACAAAGTGCAGATCCTACTTCCTATAACAGGATTGTTTTCTCTGGAATACGAAAGCCAATTATGAGGAAGAGTACACAGAACGGCTGCGACAGCCATTATTGTCTCGTCAGTTTACTTTGGATGGTCAAGAGACTACATTTTGACAAAGAGAATGAGAGGGTGGAGAAAGTGAAACGGTGGAATATCACGTGAAACCGTTGCGCTAGGAGCCATCCTAATAAACTTCTAACAGATGAGGCAAATGAACCACTTTCCGGTAGCAGCCGTGAGCATAAGATAGACTACAAACAGTCATGCTTTTTGTCCCGCCAATAAATCATATAGCCGGCCTCCAAAAGTAACAGCGTTAATCCAGTACAACCAATGGTGATTGGGTAGTTGATCACACAAAAGTCATGCGGGTCCGAATTAAGCGTCGTGACCCTCGCGTGTAGTTTACACACATCACCCAGAGCAAACGGGCAAGTAACAAAGGATGATCTGTCAGATACTTGCTACCACCCATTTCATAATTAAACACCGCCAACAAAAATGCCGTAAATAATTAAAGGTAGACCAAACAATAGAGTGTTTTTGTGAAGACGTTAGCTAATTTAAACTTGAGATGTCAGAGTAGCGGCAGTCACGCAGATGCGTCTACAGTCGGAGACCTCTACCAGTAACTTATGTCACATGGGAACTGGCAAAGATGGGATGATGACCTATGTTGTTTGCTTCAAATTTACACCCAGTGAGCTGTGAATTTTAAATAATAAAGAATTTCCTTCAATACTTTTCCGGAGCTTTGGATGAAACTCATTTACTGAAAAAATAATGAGATTTTTGCTAAGCTGAAGAACCTTACCCAGAGCTGGGAAAAGTTGGATAAGATAGGGGAAGGTTTATTGCTTCTAAGGTAGGCTAAATGGCGTAAAGCTCTCAACCAAATACTTGCTTTCTAAATGTTTCTTTTTGGTCTCGCTGGCACACATAAACTATGGTTCTAGGAAAACATTTGTTGAAGGCGTGAAAATGTTCCAGTTTTCATATTCCCCAATCTTTAGTATGATACACATGTCTTTTGGGGTTTAGGAAGATTGCCTCTTCGCTGCCACAGACGACACGGTTTGGCACACGCATCGAAAATATCACGCTATAATTGGAAAGCGTACAGATTCCAGGATTCAGCAAACTTTCCACCACATGGAGTACCTGTCATTGGATTGCAACTGGTATTTTCAGTGGCCCCATCTAATTACGTATGATTCAACCGTAAGAGAAGAGGAGACTCAGCTTCTGCGTGTAAACTTGGTGCTATCAAGCAACCACCTAAAACTTCAAAGCAAACTTAAATAAAGGTTAAGGAAGCATTGTTTACCGCAATCAAGCTCTGAATTGTCAGAAGTGCCGGATATTTTGATAACATAAAGGAACTCCTTGCGGGCCAGAATACTCAGAAGCCAATATATCGGCTGGCCACGATAAAACCAATTCAGCTACTGCATGGCTGCTTGTTTATATGCTAAGTCGAACCATGACTGGCCTATATGACCGGTTTTTTGATAAGGCAATACCCCAAATTACCGGACTTTAGCTTTAATGACACCCATTAGAAAAGGGGATAACGGAATCACTGCGCTCAACCGCAAGTAACTTTTCATTAACTACTCCCCACTAAAGTTAATTTAATTTGGCAAAATGGTGATGCCTGTGACAATAAATAAGCTTTACTTAGCAAGTGAGGCCACATGTCTTATAAAACGCTTGTCTGTCAAACATACTTAAGACTTTAGACGGAACAAAATGATGAAATTATAATATGAATGAAGTTCAAATGTGTTACTTAGGTCTTAGAATGGCTGGTGACTTGATGAAGCATCAGCTTTTGCTAAAAATTCATTCAGCTGAAGCCTTATCTAAAAGTTCCGGAACGGATGGGTGCTTTTTTATCAGGTAAACGTTTTATAAGCGGACTAGGTGTCAACTTTACCACGAGCGTCTTATGTCAATTCTTGGTTTCATTGGGCTTATAACTCTTATAGCCGACCTAATGTGGCATTTTTTCGCGCTCTATTTTTCCGGGCAAGGTAAAAATTGTGACAAATCTACATGAAGTAAAAAAACACAACCCTCTTTGTTGCGTATATGGGTGGATTTCAAAGTGCGATCTTTATGTGGATTCACAAAAATTATACCGTCTGTTAGACAAGCTAAAAGATTCGTCAAAAAAGTAGGAAAAAACGGAGATGAATGCAAGCTGCACATTTAAGTCAAGACTATCAGCGATTTGTCAAGGCGCACACTTCACACCGCCACAGTAATGGAGTTATTTTACCCCTGCAGATCGGTGTCTTTTAGAAGCCAGAGTTTTTATGACTTTGTTTAATCCCTTGGTAATTCTTACTTGGAAAATGTTATATGATCCAGATAGCCATGGCCGGAAAAGGCGTAGCATTTTTGGGAAAGATCAGGCAGCGCTTTATAAGATATGTTGGGGTGCAAAGTTCTGGAGTACTAAAATATCAACGCATTTACATCCTGCAGAAACCAAATACTTAATGGCCATAATGAAACACTTATGATGTGCGAGGGTAGATAGATGTGAAATGGTGTTTATCTTTTCAGCACACAGCCTCTTCAGCCTGAAATTAGCTGTTTTAAAAAGAACACGATAAGATTTCGAGCTAATACAAGTGAGCGCTTCTTTATTGTTTTTTACTACCGGGTTACGTTTCTACCTGGAGAGGTAGAAGTCTCAACGACTGAGGACTTGGGGCTGAATTAAGGTGCCTTCTGTCCTTCCAAGATGCACTTGGGCACCGCAGGATTTGAATAGAGCGACCTGTGCCAATTCACACACCGTTCAAACATACCTTTACCGTCATACTCTCACTTTGTCTCGGTTGCAAGCAAAGCCTTTAGGTTTGACAGGCCGGCAAAATTATTCGACCGTTAGTGTGTAAAATCACAGGAGTTTTACGTCACCTTGGCTCCAGCTAGTCTGCTTTCTAATTTTCAAAATCGTCGCCATTCGGGATATGAAAGTAGAGGAAATATGATTCAACACTTGAGTTAGCTTCTGGGACATCAAGAGATACATCTATTGATTTCGGCGCAAAAATCTGGACGAATCTAGGCTTATTCTTCCAAACCCTTTATACTATCCTTTTACATTAGCCTGTCTCGTCTTGAACTCTGTCCAAGGTAGAATGTGCTCCGGTTGAAATAAACGGGTGAAGCTAATTAAAGTTCATTCATTTTGCTTTCTCACGCCGAAACATTTTTGTACAAATGCTCCATTTACACGCATTTAATGTATCAACTAACAACTCCGTTTTAGTCAGTTCTTCTGAAGACACAAGAAACAGCAACTATGATTTAAAACCTCACAATTTTTGAGCCCTGTGGTTAGATACCACTGATTTCTTCATCCGCGTGAATGCCAGGGGAATAAAAGTGTCAGGCCACTCATGTTCAAACCTTCGATCAAGTGAAAAATCTTGAGACGATGCGACAAGTCGCAAGAGGATTCATCCTCTAGCTACGGCTTTTAGTTGTAGGTGAAGGCACCACGTAATGGTCCTTTATACGAGAACTCACGAGGCGGTTTCACGAAGTAGATTCTATTACGCAAGGTATTTTGAATATGAAGGCATCCAACCCAAAGGCATTTTTTTTACTGAATGCTGAAAAAATTATCCTGGGCCTTAGGGTCGAGATGCAAACGGCTCTGATGTGCCCTTATGTCCGCACAGGTTGATATTCAGCGCTATTCAAACTTAGGGCGCACTTCTGGCATTAATTCCAGCATTACACTCTTTGACTTTATTGGTGTTGTGACTCGATGGACATCCATGGTGTCACCACAGGGAATAGCTTTGAGGCGCATCTATATTCAGAAATGTCTCACTGCAAGTTGACTTACCTAACGCAGCACTGCACTAGATTACACTGGTGCTTCATTAGTCCACTTCATTTAGTTAACTTATAAAATCTGGGGTTTCTAAACTCTGGGAACTTCCAAAAGATGACTTCACTGATATCGAGTAAGTCGTGTCCGGTATTTGGTCGTTTCTCTTGCGTAAGCTGCAGACTGGTTAGACTAAAAGGACAGTCTGTAACACTACGGACCTGTATCTTAAGCTAATGATAGTAAAACTATCAATCGCATTAACGTGGAATGCGGTTTGTAAAGGGTCATCTTCTACGACCTAAAGTGGTTTGAAAACCTCAACGGACTAACCGACTCTTAGAGTTTCTACATCTGCGAATGATTTCATTAGACTATTCTTGTAGTATATCCGTCCTCAGATGTATTTAATTTTTAACTTTTTCCACTAATTTACTGACTTCCGAGTTTTATTTATTTTGCCTTATTTTATCAACCGTCAGCCTTGATGCTGCCAGAATTTGTAACTTGCCAGAAAATTCTTCAAATGGTCTGTTACGGCCGGCTAAAGCTTTCGAACTCTAGAAGTGACCAAAAACTAGTGTTGGTTTCCCAAACTTTACCTTTTATGATAATAAAATAAAACTGGGAAGACTGATTAGTTTAAAAACGACTCATTGGCTTTTAACAATGAGCCTGTTTCCATATGGCCTGATGTACAGTGTGCAGTAGTAAGGGTAACCCTGAGTATTCAACTGCATCATCCTTTGATGTGGATTCGCGGGAATTATTATGCCAGAATATAAGGTCTGTTCCAATGAGAACGGTGTGGGTGTGAACTCCACAAGACCTGAAACCATCTACAACCGATTGGCCGGTGTGTCTGAGCTTTTTTCTGGTAAATTCTAAATTTAACTGCGACAGATCAGTCCTGTAAGAATGAGTCTCTAGCTATCGAATGACTTTGCTGAAAGGTAGCGTTGTCCAGTAATTCTGACACCACTTAGTCTGTAATTGAAACAATCTTACGAACTCCAAGAGTTACGGCTGTTGCCGTATTTAGTTTTGCAACAATACTTACTTTTAACTGGCTCGACCATCCAAAAATGTACTAAAAGTTGAAAAATCACAGGCATCCGGCACCAGCTGTTGTTGTTCTTTATTTGACACGTTGTGGTCTCTCCTCTCTTCTGATTAGTGGACGCGTTTCTCACTTGGGACCAACATGACATTCGACATTTCGGAGACAGTTATTTCACCCTAGTTGAAAGTCTCATCCAAGTCACAACTGTCTTCACATTACTCTACAAGTTATCAAAGTACGAAACTGTAGGACAGGTAGTCAGTCAACGTATCCTTGCTATACTGAGTCTGTTGGCGATGAAAGCATTTGCTTTGTTCTACCAAAAAAGTTCACTTGAGAAAGATCTTTGGAGCCTAACCTTGGTGTATAGCCTTCTTCAATAGCCAAGATGTATTTGCCATCGTTGTTCATGAAGCGTAGCTGTTCCAACGCATTCGTTTGTGATATTTTAAAAACCAGGGTTGGAACTTTACGTATAGAATGTACCTCGCATCGTAGATTGCAGTCGCTTCGTCCTATGCTGCACATGCCGAAAAGTAGACAATTCCAAAATGAAGGAAGGGCATCAAAGTGATTGTAAACGTTTGCGCGCAGTAAGTTTGAGCTTTGTTCCAGCTTGGGGTGCATGCGGCCTCAAATATGTATATCCCGAGATGCTTCAAGCTAGGGTCCTCTGCTTTCGGTCTCATCGGCATTGTCGGCTTGAATGTTTGGAGGTAGAGTTACCCAACGGTGCTTGTGGCGAAGTGAAGTCTGAGTGCACCTCAGTGAAACAGTTGTTTAACACTGGCATTGCTGATGATGATGATGATGATGATGATGATGATGATGATGATGATGATGATGATGATGATGATGATGATGATGATGATGATGATGATTAACTTGCTTGCCTTGCGAATTATCAAAAAACACAAGAACAAAGGAAATGCAACCTCATTGTGACAAAAGGAGTTTCGTCCCACAAAACTGAAGAACACATGTGATGAATCCATTCTGACAAATGTCTTTCTGACACAGATTTAGACTTCGTCTTGCTGAATTTTCGTGTCTTACCGGATAAGACTGGTGACTGTTAATTCCGTGACAGGACAAATCTTAGATGATCAAACTAAAGATTCGTGATCACTATTTGTAGATCTGAATTGAATTTTTCATTCAAGTCTAGCCAGAATACTGACTTTTGTAGCAAAAGCACCACAGACGGTTTGTGCTGAGCCCGATTTCATGTTAAGTGCAAACCCATGAGTGCCAATGGAATAAGACCAACAGGCGAGCCAGGATGTCTGAACTTGAAGTTTGAAGTCTGCATAATTTGATACTCTGAAATCGAATAGAAGCAAACGCTAAGATCCTTCCATTACCTTTTCTTTGCAGCTGGAAGCATTTCCTACAAGCTTAATGATGTTGGAAATGGCGAAAAAGTTACGGATAGAGCGAGAACGGGAAGCGAAGGTTGCAAAACAGATTCATGAGCAGAAAACTTTGGTGAGTTTTTGAGTAAATGCACCTTTACTTTTTTCATATCGAAGGCACATGGAAGTATAGATCATAGTCGTAAGCTAGTGAGTAGATGTGTGAGTAGTCTGTGCACAGCCGTTGAGGTATTTTAAAAACGGACAGTTTTTGAGGGCAGCTAAATTTGCAAAGCCTAACTGATTGTGCCTCATTTATGCTGAGCGGAATGCGGTCTAGAAATGGACTACAGGGGGGAACATCATCAAGCAGGATGTTGAAAGTTCGGGCCATTTCAGGCAGTCTCTTTTGAAGTTAGCGTCCTCTTAAACTTGAAACCATAAATTAGGGTCTATTGTCGTAATTAAACAAAAACGCATTATAGTCATTGCAATGCATTGTAATAGCTAGAAGAAATACGAGTAATTCAACAACAAAAGAGCTTATCTCCCCAATAATCCCATGCTCCCGACCGGACGCACAGGCAAGAGATAATAGGAGTATTCTCCGTAGACACTGTGAGAACTTTTCGACAGCGCACTGCCAGTTTTGACGTTCAAAAATCACCGGATAAGTGTATAACCCGCGTTTCCTTCAGTCATCTCGCATATTGGACACCGAAGTAGATTTATGTTGCCCTAATTATTTGTCTTAAAGTTATAGTGGTTTGATGTGAGAGTGGAGTCAAACTCAAAAGACCCTCACCCTTACTTCAGTTAAATACAAGGTGTAAAAATGGTGTCAGAATTTGGGTGGTTAGGTACTCAGCACAATAGAACTATTTTTTTCCGTTTACAAATATCTGTCAATTTCAGGCAGCCCAGTACCGGTTTTTACTCTGACAACTGATTGGGTCGTTGTATCCCATTCATTTCGATAATTTTTCTTGTCTACTTGTGCCCCACGTATATAACATTGTACACAGCAGTAAAATAGATCACACGGTACTTATGTGACTACAGAATTATATGCTTCCGGACATTTCCCGGGGCGGCTTTTTACTGCTACTCTATCGTCTTCAGTGGAAGCCGCCTGATCTGATACCATGTTGCGCAAAGCAAATACAAAGTCCAACGCGATCCTGACAAAATTCCAAACTAAGATGGGTAGTTGGGAAGGTCGTTAGGTTCCAGTTCAATTGATCGATTCAGTTCTGGGCAGACCGCAACTATCATCAACCCTTGAAAGAGTTTAGCGCACGGCAATGATAAAAACCACGATCAACCAAATAACAACCTATGCTTGACAAGCGTCTGATATCAACTAGTTGACTGATGGAATATTGTTAACGACCACCAAAACGTAGTGGCTCAGAAATGCAGCCCTTTCAAAAGTAAGATAGCTTCAAGGCCATACGTTCAACTCTAGCACCCTTTCGATGCCTAACTCCCATGCCACGCAAAGGAAATATGGGGGTTGGGATAATACCAGGTTGCCCAATCCTAGACAAGGAAAGTCGAGAGGCAGAGGTCGGTTTCGGTCTACGAACTTTTCGGTCAACTCTGACCACTTGAGCCATCTTGCCCCGTTCAATTTATATACATTACAAATCTCATACCGCAACGCTTTCTTCTCCTTGTCACACCAGATTGCCAGTCTTGGACAACGTGCTCAGCATATACAACAGCAAGTGAAAGAGATACGCAAGGCTGCGACCGGATCAACACCAGGAAGTAAGCTTCTTACATGATACACTCGCATGTTTTCCGTTGTTTTCAGTTGACAGCTATCGATGTTAGGCCAATTCGACCTTTCGCCGTTTTTACGTTACTGAGCTCCTAGGCTGAAAAGTAAAAGGCACATAAGTAGAAAAGGACCTTCCGCGCGTACCGGAAATTGTGAAATCCGTACTTCACTGACCTGAATGTACCTTTAGCCAGTGAGGTAAAATCACAACTAATTGTTCCACCATAAGAGAGGCCATTCACCTTGAGTTGGTTGATAAAATTTGGGTTGACAAGCGTGCTACAATGCATTTATACCTATTGATAATGGCTTCTTATAGCAAAATTCATCGAATCCATTTGAGATTGAACAAGTTGCCTGTGAAACTGATGAAGGGTTTCCTACGCAGTTTTGACATCAGGGTGAAAACCTCTCACCCAAAAGAATGACATCTAAAATGTCTACATCTCATAGTGAAAACTACATTTTTGATTTCTCCTCACTAGATATAAGCAAATACGGTCTACTTACAAGGTTGCTGAAAACTCTTCGACAACCCACGACCGGTTTTGTCCTTCTTGGGGCTCATCATAAACGAGAGATTCAATTGAGTCTCTCGTGAAAACCAAATTGATTTGCAAATGAGTGTAGTTCCCAAATACGGTCTACGTACCACTAAATACCATCCAATGGAAGAGCAAACGTGTGATCGTTACCTGGATAGAGATGATTTCCACATTGAAGGAATAGGTTTTCTAAGAAACAGAGCTCCTACGTGAGCTTGGCTTTTGTACCATTGTCCACGATTTCTCTGCTGTCAGTAGATATGATGTCGTTCCTCTCACTTAGCACAGGATTAGTTTCATCCTCCACTATCAGCCTACCAACGATTGTGACTTCTCCACAGAGAAGTGTGGTACCATGACCGGCTGATTACCAGTGTACCAAATATTCAAATTCGATCGGCAGTGTATTGATCGGCGAAAAGGATACCTGAATTCCGTACCTGGTTATTAAATGTGAATGGTAGGAAAATCAATCAGGAGTTCGAAAAATTGGCAAATTCCCATGGAAAGTGTGGCGTGTATAGCAATTCGTTTGCAAGACCGACGTTCTCCTGGCTGTTGATGAGGTATCCCATCCCAGTGATATGATGGACTCATTCTTAGCGTCTATTGTATTGTGATCGTCCATGCTCAGGGATTTCGAAATTTCGTAACCGAGGACATCAAAACATGCGTTGCTGAAGTCAACAAGATCTGAAAGCTCCGGAGATTGGAGCAACAGCTCAAAGGTCGTTGATTGTGATGAAATCAAACGAAGCAGAGATGGTTCCACTTCGCTACTTTGTGGTCCCCGCGGTGAGATTTTATGATGTAAGGGTATGCTGGACATGAGTACAAATGATGAACTTAATATATTGAGGGTAAGGTTATTTTACTAAGTGGTTACTGAACTGACTCAGTCAGATGTGAAGGTGGACAATTTTCCAACCTTGGATGTATATCCATAAAATGGCTAACAGCTGATATTCCGTTCTCCCAGATCTATGAAGTTCCATCAATTTTCATTGAAGATGGTGTGCTGCTGGTCCACAGTGCAATCGCTCTCTTACCGTAGACCAATCATTTCGACACTTACTTCATTCAGCTGATTTTCGAGCCTGATGTCATCAGAACTGAACCCTTGGGACGGATCAGTGGTTAAGGCAGGGACTTAACGACCGGAAGGTCTGTGGTTCGAACCCAACACCGACGTCTTGACTTCTTCAGCCTAGGCCTGGGCAAACTGACAGTATCTCGTGTTTACTTCAGGTCACATGGTAGCCCAACACCAAAAGTGTGCAACAGCTAAATGGCAATTATTACGTCATCAAATCCAGATCAAATAACCGAGATACCAGAGTAAATTTAGTCCCAAAAGCTGGAGAGCAAGATGAAGCACGCATTTGTCGTGCATATTACTATCGAATTTTCGCACGCATATCGGTGGACTTGATAGCCACCGGACATAGCACACTGATGTTCTCAACCGGGTGATCCCGAGCCAAGATCGACCGCAGAGTCACGAAGCGGCTTGTGGAGACAGCTATGCTTTCTGCAATACAAAGTTACTTTTTTTCAGAAATACAAAAATCCTTCTTCTGGCTAGAATACTTCGTATATTTGACTTAGAGATTATTTTTTCCGTCTCTTATCAGAGTTTAAGTGTTGTTCAAGGATAGTATCCCTTTGGCACTTGGCTGTAGACAGTGCAAGAACTGGTAGCTAATCAGTGTCAGTGACGTTCGTGCTATCAGTTTCTTTTCGGATTGCCTGATTAGGCGCTTAGAGGTGTAGGCATCTCACGATGCTTGCGATAGGCCGGTGCCGGATTCCTTTTTCACCCAAGTTTTCCTTTTATTTTCCGTTTGAAGCTTTGAGTATAGTGAACAAACTTTGCGGTTGTGCAACAGTGATGAATCAGTGTCAACACTGGTGTTTCTGTCATTGGGGCTAATGATCTCGTATCAGTTAAAACATTCTTAACATAGTCGGTCACTGAAATTGATGAGAAAAAGAAATCTGGATCTTATATATTTTTTTATTATATATTATATTT